GACGAAAACGCACCCTTACGAGTCAGGTTGGTCAGGGGCGCAGCTATTACAGAATAGCGCGCAATAAACTTACGAAAATAGTTCGTCAACCCCAGGAACTTACGAAGTTCCTGCAGAGAGGTGGGCGCTGGCCAGTCCCGTACAGCAGCAGTTTTACGGGGATCCATCCGAACACCGTCGGCAGAGACGATGTGGCCAAGGTACTCCACCTGGGGTTGCGCCCAATGGCACTTGGACAGTTTGGCGTAAAACTTTTCTTGCCGTAGTACCTGGAGGACTGAGCGCAAGTGCTGCAGGTGCTCCTCGCGCGTCTTAGAAAATACCAGGATGTCGTCCAGGTAGACGATTAGGAATTTGTCAATATACGGCCGAAAAATACGATCCATAACGGCTTGGAAGGTGGCAGGAGCGTTAGTTAAACCGAAACTAATGACCGTGTACTCAAAGTGACCAAACGGGGTGCGAAACGCGGTTTTTGGAATATCGGACTCGGAAATACGAATCTGGTTGTACCCCTGCTGGAGGTCAATCGAGCTAAAGAAGGCCGAACCGCGCAGCTTGTCAAGCAGGTCGTCAACGCGCGGGAGAGGGTAGCGATTCTTAACCGTCGCTGCATTCAATCCCCGGTAGTCAATGCACATGCGGAGGCTACCATCTTTCTTACCCACGAACAGGATTGGGGCCGAATAGGGAGAAGTGCTAGGACGGATCATACCCTTCTTTAGCAAGTCGGTAACCTGGCGCTTGACTTCGTCGAGTTCCAGAGGGCTCAGACGGTACATGGGACGAGTCACAGGAGTCGCGCCCGGAGTCAAGGGAATCGTGTGATCGACAGGCCGAACAGGAGGGATGCCTGGGATCTCCGGAAAAACGTCGGAAAACTCGTTCAACAGGGATTGCAGCTCAGGGTCCGATGGGTCAGTAGCGGCAACGGCAGAGTTCAATTGTAGCTTAGGCCGAACTAACAGACCATGCGCCCCTTTACGAATAAGTCGGACTGCAGCTTTCCGACCTATGGGTTCAGGTGTGGCATGTTGACAGAGCGCGGCCACGGCGTAATGAACTTGCGGTTCCGACTGCGAGGTACCCTGTTCGGAGGAATCACGCTCCGCGACAACGAAAGGCGCCTTATAAACAAGAGTCCCTTTTCGCAACTGCAGAGTGCGCGACTCGAAACTAAGGACGCCCCCGAACCGCGAGAACGTAGAGGACCCTATGATGTACGTGACCGGCGCAGGCAGCTCAGGCAACGCGTACGGGTGCACGGTTAGACGCAAAGGGCCAATGGACAACCGTAGTGTAACCCGACCCACGATAGCCTGTTTATCCCCGTTCGCGAGCGTAACATGTGACCAAGCACAGGTACTAGGTGTAATACCAAGTCGCTTCACCTCAGAGTGAGAAATAAAGTCGTCGCTGGCGCCAGAATCAGCAAGCGCAAGCAGAGAACAGTTGACGACGCGGACTTGGATCAGAGGCACCTTTCCACCTGGCAGAGCAGCAGATTGAGGCAAGAGCGATGAGGCTGAAAGGCGAGGTAAAGTGTCAGGCGCAGCACCAGCATGTTGCGGGGGATCGTACCAAACATCGAACGTGTACGGCAACCCAGGATGCGGCACAGGCCGGCCCTCCAGATCGAGCCAGTTGAACAACAGTGTTCCTGGACTAAATTGCAAAACGCGCTGCATCCCGGCCAGCAGAGCCGAAACCCTCCGTGCAGAGTATGACGGGGTAAGGATACACGCTGCAATTTCCGAATGCTGACGCTTGCAGATGTGATACACAGACAGCTGCTTCTGCAACTCAGAAACAGAAGAGGGGAGGAAGAGAACCGTATGGCCGCGCAGGTCGTTAGCGGAGAGAGACTGAGGACGCGGCACAAGCAGATTACACAGATCGTCAAAGTCCCCCTTCACGGAATGAGCGTCAAACGTAAGCTTTCATCCAATGACTCGTTCAACCTGTGCTAAGACGGAGGGCAACAGTGCCCTGGCAGCCCGCCTAGCAGTGAACAACGGCAACGCGTTCTCTACTTCTAACCCAGGAGGAATCCCCTCCATCACAGCCTGGGCAGCTCCCTACTTCTTGTTTTCTGGCCACAACGAACAGCTCGCCGTGNGGTGTCCGCCCCCACAACGCAGACACTTATTTCGCTTCTTCCGCTCGTTAAGCTCGGCCTTCGTACAGCAGAATTTATCTAACCACTGCTCGTTGTCGCGTTTACGCTTCTGACCCGACTGGTTTTTAGTCCCAGCCGAGGAAGGCCCCGCCTCTGAACCCGTCTGCCTCCCAGGCCACCGGGGCTGGCCCTGGCGGCCCCCCCTAGGCTCACCGGTACCCGCAGCAGCAACAGCGCCGCCCTCCCTGCGTCCCGGTCCAAAAGCGGCAGCTGCGGCGGCGCGAGGGGCGGGTACCGGCGCCTGAGCAGGGGTGCCGACAGGGTGCAGCTCCGGGGCCTGCGAGGTAAGGGCATTGGCGCGGGGTGCAGAACGGGAAGCTTGTCTACGAGCAAGGAGGCGCATTTCAGCGCCTTGCGCGAAACGCGAAAGATTGCTGTAAGAAGTGAAAGGAGTTCCAGAAAGATCAGTAGCGCATTCCCCAATTAACTCTTCAGAGAGTCCACGCTGGAACCAGAAAATCCGATCTCCTTCCGACAAGTCAGTGATAGGTGTGATCAATGCCTCAAAGCGTGATTGGTAGGCCGAGACCGACTCACCAGAGCGCATGCGGTGCGATAAACTAGCAAGAGCGGTACGCGCTTCCACATCACGCGGCAAGATCTCAGGGGCGAAACGAGCGAGTAACGCGGTGAACAGTTCGTCGGACGTGAACGAAGTCCGAGCCGTCGACCACTGATCATACCAAGCCTTGGCGGCACCATCCAAAGCATTGGCGATGAACAGACAGCGGACTGGCTCCCGGTCGCCACCCCGAACGAGCTGAAGGTACTGCTTCGCATCCCTGACAAATGCGCGCGTACTCTCCGCCGCGGCCCGACCGAATTCGCGAGATCTAAGATCGGACGAAAAATTCAACCTAGGTACTGGAACGGAAAGTCTAAGTACCTCAGCATCCTGAGCCGGTAAGAGTGCGGCAGCCGTAGGAGCCATCTCTGCGCCACCAGCACCGTGGGCGGAAGAGGCTACAGGCAACGGCGGCGGCGGAACAGCGGCAACAGGCGTGGGCTCCTGCCCTACGTTAGGCACTGGGGCAGCAGCAGGATTGACAGGAGCGACTGGGGCAGAAATAGGAATTGTCGGTGCAGGACCACCCTCACCGACTAAAACAGGCGGACCCCACCGATTGCGTCTATTCCCGTCTGCTGTGTTCCAGGAAGGGGGAACAACATTTACAGTACCCTGCTGGCCACCAACGACGACAGGCAAAGGCGCGTTTCCGGAGTTGGCCGGCAACATCGCGACGCGAACCGAAACGCGAACTAAGGCAAGGAAGAAAAGGTAATCCTACCGAAAGTCAAAACCTCTTCAGCGCAGTGGTGCAACTCCTCCAAGGAGCGCAATGCACCACGGGAGCGGTGCACAAGCTCCCTTAAACGCTGGACCGCCGGGGGAGCGGAGGCAGCAGTGCCTACCACGGCGGAAGGGCCTGCAAGTCTAGAAAAAGTCACAATATAGATTTAATAAACTGAAAATACTACGGGCAGAGCTAATCACCAACCCTCGATGGTCGCGGCGGCAATCACTGCGTTGCCGAAACTAATGAACCTGGTTCTTCCAACGCCGGAGAAGTCACCATTGCCGACGTGAGATCCATTTCAGTGAACGTTGACAGTGAGTGAGCGGAAGCAGATACGAGACTGGTCCGTGAGGAGCCCGTCTCGATACCAAACTTGTAGTATCCTTAAGACGACACAACCATAGATGGTGGTATCGAAAGATACCGGTTGAGACAAGTGGAACGAATAAATAGTCGTTGTAGCAACCACTTGGGCCTCGCGCCGATAAGTTCCCAGTACGACTGGGCGGTGCGATGTTCGGTTGACCATAGTTCACAGGAACTACTCTCGCCCGGTGAAGCAGACGAACCAGGAACGCAGGTTCCAGCTTTACGCAGGTAAAGCCCCCGCCCATACGCCGGTATGGACTTCCGCAGCAGTGCGGCATTAGGATGGCGAACTAGCAGCAGTCGTAAGCCGCCAATAACTAATATCAGTATTAGTTTAACCTGTTATCAACGACAGCGGATACAAACAGGTATTAGTTAATAACAACAGTGTTAGAACTGAACGGACCGGCATCTGACCGTTAGGCAACCGAGCCTAGAGCTTAACAGTAAGCGTACAGGATACAACAGTTTTACACTTAGGATGTGGTACCGGTATCCAGGGGCGTTGTAAATCCTGCTGGTTAATAAACCGCCATAAATCCGTGACTGGGAAGTATTCGGCAAGGCCAGCTGGCTGCAGCCGCCGGAAAGTGTCCTACTGACTTTAATTATTTAATATTAATTTAAAAATTTAATAAAAAAATTAAAAAAAAGATATAAATCTTTAGGAGATAAAATATGATCAAAACCTTAAAGTTCCCTTATCTGCATATTGATTATAACAGCTCCTACTGGTAAAATTTTATAAATGTCATCAAAACTTTTGCCGCAGGGCTAGTTTTGCTTAAGCAACGAAGCGAGGTGGCAAGGGTCAATTTTATAAAAAAGATTGCAGCATAAAAATCTTTAATCTCAAAATACTCGGCGTTTCAAAAGCTTATTCAATGACTGGATGAACTCAAGGTGGTTGCAAAGTTCTTGAACTGAGCTCATGGTAACTGTATTTTTAGTGCGACTGTGCGAGACAGCACACAAACAGAGTTTGGAATGTGTGGAAATGCATGCCGCTCATCCAAACTGAGTCGACCAAGGCAAGCGCGATATCGCAGCATGGCACCGTCCTTCTGTCCTTCAGCTGCTTCAGGGTTGCGACCGAATTACAGTGTAATACGCCAAGTACAATGACGCCCAAATATGCCGGCGAGGTGGTCGATATATAGGGCATTATATCAGTGGCGTAAAGTTGGCGATACTAATTTTCCGTTATGGTCATACAGGCCCCATACCAGCTTGGTTCTACCCCTGAGAACGTGTATTGCTCTCTCCGTTGCCAAGAGTATCGTATTAGAGGTGCAGTGATAGCGACCGGGCTCGGCGGAGTCCAGCTTGCCGACGGGCGGTGCAGCGGCAAGCAGCAGGGGCACGGCTCTGACAACTTCACGTCTGAGGCAACCCGGGAAATTTCCATTTAAAAGGAGCGGCAAGGCGCAAATGTCTATGCAGCAATTCCTGGACGTCGGCATGTCAAAGGCTCAGCTGGACACCATCAGCAAAAAGCTCGAAACCTGGTTTTACGTCGCAAAATCGCCTCCAAGCAGGTTGACAGCCCGTACTTCTTGGACTTCGCCCTCTCGCTGCGACCACATACAACCCACCGGGTAAGGAGAGTTGCGCTTGCGTGCTGCAACCACCCGCCTCCAGTTGTACCTCCCGTTTGTGCTAACCCAAGTCGCATTTTCGTCCAGAGCGGGACGCTGTCGGGGGAGTCAATTTGGGGAGCTGGCGCAGGCACGCGCCATTAATTATCAGCAGCAAATCTACTTTGCTGTGACATTTGCTGGTGTCATTGTTGCTCTAGAGGTTCTTGCCATGTTTGGCACGAATGATACGGACTTCTGGAGGGAAAGGGGTCCCATGCTGCGACGACTGAGCCAGAAAGTCCGGTCCAGATAATACGCTTGTTAATCCTCATCGCTTGAATACTGTAATAGGAAACACGCCAGAGCTTTTGCATTACGCCGAATAAAATGCGGGCATCGTACAATACGCCATACGCCGGGTGTAAAAGTTTTGGGTCGTATTACGCCGGACGGTCAAAAGTAATACGGTCGCAAGCCTCCTTTAGCAATAGATTGCCATGGGAGCCGTCCGAAACAGTTTTCGACATAACAAAGGAGAATATGCAACATCTAACTAATTTCACTTGAGGACGCCCGACAGAACGGCATTAAAGCGTAGCGCATTAATCTTGCAACATGACAAAGGAAAAACAAAATGAAGCTCTTCATCTAAGTCTAGGGCCAAACGATGCACAGTGTGAGACACCCTCTAAAGCTGCATCTCCGACAGCTCCTCCTGATGCATGCCCCCAGAGCGATGCATCGGTCTCTCAATCCTGCTTTGATGGTGTCGATAGCACTGCACGCGATGGCTCACAGGCAGCTGTTAAGGCGTCCAAGGCGGACATTGACGGCGACATGATCAAGCCTGCGAACGACGACATGAGCTACAGGTAGGGCTACAGGTAGGGGGCATTCTCATTCCGTAGGAAGGCAGAAAATGGCAATAGGCGGTGGAATTGAATGAGGCTGTCGGTCGCTCACCTTCCGGCACACGCACACGCACACAAGTTCCCCGTTAGCGGAGCCGGCAAACTTTTGCACTTGCCCCTTTGGCAGCTTGTGGGTTGTTGTAAGGTGTAATGGTGCGTTGTTGTAATGGTGCGCGCGCATGTCATTATGGTCTGCCATTAATTCAGGGCCTGCCGGAATGGCCTGATCTGCCTGATCATGAGGGTCAAGCCAGCTGACACATGCGACCCGTGACAACCCTCCCCCCCGCGCCCCGCAATCCCCGCCCGCCACATATTTCCCCGATACACGCATTTGACCACCCTCTGAATCCACAATCTCATGCACCCAGATTTAAACCATCCATTTACGACCATTCACCTAGCGGTGGTTTTACCCGAGCTCAGATTCCCCGACACACCCAGCCAACAATGCCACGACCTCCCAAGCCTTCCCCCGCCTACACAAGCACGCGCCCAAGCCCCCACTCCCACCCACCACATACACACACACCACATACCCCCACGCACCACATACACACGCGCGGGCCTC